ATCATCAAGGCACAGCCAGAAAAATACGATCTTTGTATCGCGAAGGCATGAAATCACTTCAAATTTATGATAAAATGAAATTTCAATGCGCCTTAGAAGCAGGGATAATACTATCAGATTTCTGATGCCTTTGGCCCATGTCATTTGCGATTCAAATAAGGCCAGGGCCATGATCGGCTATGTCAGCGCTGAAGATTATCAACCAGGTATTACTCCGGTTCCGGATAACTGGTTTAAGACTGCAGATTTCGACAATGAAACTGCACGTGAAGCTCAGGCCAATATCCTTGAGAGTGTTGACATTGCAAGCATTTTTATTCGTTTTGAGAGTGGTCATTCCACTGATGTTGAAATTCAACATTGTCCATTTATGCCTGACATGTTTTCCCTGAGGTACCTTATCCACGGAACAAACGAGAAGAACCTTGAATCCATCCGAAGACTCGGTTTGCTTCCTGGTGGTACCCATGGTGGCAGGAATCACGTTCATTTTGCCCTTGACTCAACACTCAGTACGCTGAAAGATGTTTTACGTACCGAATCAGATTGTATTTTAATTGCACGACCCGGTGCCGTAGCTGGCTTTGGTCCGGTGATCGCCCATAATCGTTATGTTCTCACTGATCAGACTGTACCGTTTACCCGGTTCTGTGGTGTTTGGTCCTTCATTGACCGTGCCTGGCTTGATACACCGGAACCGGCTGAGCTGCGCCGAATGAACGACTACCTGGACAATCCAACGCTGCCGATGGGACATCTATATCAACAAACGAAGATGTTTCACTTACAACGACATCGTATGCATAAACGCTTTCGTTTGCATCTCATCTAAAAGAGTCAAAAGAGGCAACATAGAAAAGACCCGGGAATATATATAAAGAAAAGTAAAGAAGATTGCAAGATGCTTTGAAATGCATTTAGGGTTTCCAACGAGAACGTCAGACGACAACGAAAACGTTAGACGCCATCGGCAACGATAGAAAGACCCGGGAATATATTTAAAGAAAAGTAAAGAAGATTGCAAGATGCTTTGAAATGCATTTAGGGTTTCCAACGAGAACGTCAGACGACAACGAAAACGTTAGACGCCATCGGCAACGATAGAAAGACCCGGGAATATATTTAAAGAAAAGTAAAGAAGATTGCAAGATGCTTTGAAATGCATTTAGGGTTTCCAACGAGAACGTCAGACGACAACGAAAACGTTAGACGCCATCGGCAACGATAGAAAGACTCGGGAATATATTTAAAGAAAAGTAAAGAAGATTGCAAGATGCTTTGAAATGCATTTAGGGTTTCCAACGAGAACGTCAGACGACAACGAAAACGTTAGACGCCATCGGCAACGATAGAAAGACCCGGGAATATATTTAAAGAAAAGTAAAGAAGATTGCAAGATGCTTTGAAATGCATTTAGGGTTTCCAACGAGAACGTCAGACGACAACGAAAACGTTAGACGCCATCGGCAACGATAGAAAGACCCGGGAATATATTTAAAGAAAAGTAAAGAAGATTGCAAGATGCTTTGAAATGCATTTAGGGTTTCCAACGAGAACGTCAGACGACAACGAAAACGTTAGACGCCATCGGCAACGATAGAAAGACCCGGGAATATATTTAAAGAAAAGTAAAGAAGATTGCAAGATGCTTTGAAATGCATTTAGGGTTTCCAACGAGAACGTCAGACGACAACGAAAACGTTAGACGCCATCGGCAACGATAGAAAGACCCGGGAATATATTCAAAGAAAAGTAAAGAAGATTGCAAGATGCTTTGAAATGCATTTAGGGTTTCCAACGAGAACGTCAGACTACAACGAAAACGTTAGACGCCATCGGCAACGATAGAAAGACACGGGAATATATTTAAAGAAAAGTAAAGAAGATTGCAAGATGCTTTGAAATGCATTTAGGGTTTCCAACGAGAACGTCAGACGACAACGAAAACGTTAGACGCCATCGGCAACGATAGAAAGACCCGGGAATATATTTAAAGAAAAGTAAAGAAGATTGCAAGATGCTTTGAAAAGCATTTAGGGTTTCCAACGAGAACGTCAGACGACAACGAAAACGTTAGACGCCATCGGCAACGATAGAAAGACCCGGGAATACATTTAAAGAAAAGTAAAGAAGCAAGATGCTTTGAAAAGCATTTAGGGTTTCCAACGAAAACGTTAAACGCCATCGGCCGGAAACAATAATTGCCATGGACCCGGGCATATTTGGAGAAAAAGAAAAAAGAATTGAAAGATGGCTTGAAAAAAAAACACATGTTTCCAACGGGAACGATATATGGTTCAAACCCGGAAAAAATATAAAGAAAAACTAATTTTTGGAGACGGTTTGAAAAATATTGGTATAGATGATATGGACAATGGCAGCGCATGTGCTTTGCGGTGGAAGCAGCATACAACGACAGCCGTGTAGCTACGATAACATGTCGCTGGAGCCGTATATGCAGACACGGCAGCATGAAACGACAGCAGTGAGGGAGCGCCCCTGTGGTCCAATACTTGGAAATGATCCAATATTCCAAAACCGGTGGCTGTTCAGCAGCCCTAGAAAATTGGAAACAGGTCATCCCTCGGAGTGCCTGAGCTTAACATTTGCCAAGCTCAGCCATGGCAACCGGTGAGTTGTGCCTCCATAACTTGGAAGTGTCTCTACCTTGGAAGTTTCCATAACTTGGAAATTTCGCTACTTGGAAGTTTCCATAACTTGGAAGTTTCTCTACTTGGAAGTTTCCATAACTTGGAAGTTTCTCTTTGATCTGTTGGGTCCTAAGGTATTTCATATTTATGAAAATATACACATATAAACCAATAACTATATAGTATATACACAAAAAAACAATATAGTAAAACATACATGGAGAGGTGTGTTTCATGCAGATTTGCATTTGCGTTTTGGATGGAAACCGTAATTCACCAAAAAGAGATTTGGGATGATTTAACACCAAAAAACAATGATTGAGGTGATTTAACAAACACCAAAAAACAATGATTGGGGTGGTTTAACACCAAAAAAGAATGATTGGTGTGATTTAACGCCAAATAACAATGTTGGTGCACAGAATTCATGTCACTTGGGTTTTTGGAAGTGGACGGTAGCGAGAGTCACTGCGGTGATTAATTTGCGGTGATTTGGGAAAATAATTTAGCCAGAACCCATGGCAGCTGTGCAACCCAAAAGTCAACAGAGATTTGGGATTATTTGGGGTGTCTTGGCAAACCCACGGATTGCTTGCATGAAAGGGGTAACCACAAAAGATCCAAACATTTAAGATGATTTGGCAAACCCACGGATTGCTTGGAAAGGCCCACGAAAGATCTAAACATTTGGGATGATTTGGCAAACTGCTTGGAAGGGGTCACCACGAAAGATCCAAACCGGTCAACAAGTGAGCCACGATACCACTACTCTGTACTATTATACCAGTTGGTTGGTACATTCTTTCATATGGATTATAGTAATGATATTGATTTTATTCATCCCCAAGAGCCCACATAGTATATAATCACCACCTATAGCTTAATCAATCACCAGTGGTATTTTTACTGGTTCAACTGTCGGCAAAACAAACCCGTAAAATGTGTGTTGGTGATTCTTTCCTATGGGAGGGAAAGGAACGAGTTGCACATTGCACGGACCTAGCCGGGCATATCCAGCTCCAGCACCAAAGTGCACACTAAACCAGCATGCTGTGAAAACGTCAGTTATCCACCGTTGCGCCATCAGTTTTTGGCATTTCAGGAACATTCCAAATAAGAACGTACCAAGCTGCACACCCAAAACATGGAACTGCAACCCATGTTGACTTCTTTCAGTCATGATTCGGGTATCTGGTTTGGACTTTGGAATGAACTCCCCAAAAAGATAGTCATTACAGTAGTACACATTAGCCATAGAACTTCCAAACCACCTGCTCAAACTTGCAAAGCAGAAACATTTTCACTTTCACACCGCTATAGCCATGCTGGCTACGTGAGGTTTTCCAGGCACTTTTGCGCCAAGGGTGGAGTTGCATCATGTCCCCTGCAACAAGTCTGTTGATATCACATACCAATGCTTCAGGAACAATTGCAGTTTCCTTTTCCTATGTCGTTACTTTTAAGAGGGGGCCAGAGAGAAAACGCCAACTAACATCAACAAACAAGTATTGGTATTTTTTTGGCTTGGGACGACCCCAAAGCAATGGCATGTGAATTCAACACCCGGGTATCACCAACTTCATTTCCAAATGGAGTTTTCCAACTTGTTGTGTTGGTGAACTAGCAAAGCAAGGCACAAAATGTACCTTTGGTACACACGGCGGGTGAATGTTTTTCCATGACAGGAGGTTGCTATCAGCTTGATTTTACCTAGAAAGGTTTCATCATGGGTGGTGGAAAAGATCATGACATTTATCATCCATTCTTTAATTTGCACAGCCTGGTGCCACACATAGTGCAGTTTCGGGCGAATCCTGAAAAGCATGTTTTTTTTGGCATAGTAGTACGCTGCAAGCCACGCATAAGATTTGATGTGAGTGAACAAGGAATCAGAAGCTTCTGTTGCAACAGGCTCATCTAAAATGATGCCACCATTTTCCATCAGGTTGATGCATTTCTGAAGCCCCCAGCAGCAGGTCCCCAAAACCTGTAGCACGATATCCTCAGTTCGGGGCAGGCTTGCGTCCACACTATTTTATTTGAACCCTAAAGTTGGTGAGAAATCAAAAGCTACGGAAACAGAACCTCCATAGAACATATCTGCATGGGGCCCCAATAATAATCCAAAAACCCACAAGATCCAGAAGAAAAGAATGTACCTTTCTGGGATCACCAAAAAAGAACAACAATACCCAACCATAATGTTTCTTTCTGGGCTAATTCTATGAGACTTTTACCTAAGATACAGACATAGTATGACATAGCGGACATAGCGTCTGTTTGTGTGAAACTGCATGTGTGGCCATTAAGGGTCTGCCCATGAAATTCCAACTGTTGATGAAATCCAAATTAAGATACTTCAGGAGCAGCATCGGCTACTTCCTGAGTTTTCCTTGCAATCCAGAAAATCATGTTCTTTACATGGCAGGCTTTGAACTTGGTACTCAATTCAGCGTAGTCTGCATCGCTCAAGTAAATCTCTCTCAAAGTTGGCTTCCTAGGTACGTACAACCTGGGCTGGCAACTTCAAACCACCAAAAAACATAAGTGATCAAAAAAGGTTTCGTTGTGGGAAATGGTTTTCGAAAACAGAAACCCATAGATTCTTTTTTTTCAACTGTTTGATATCCAAGGAACCCGAACCTCGAACAATCTGTGACCATTTCTTCTTGGATATAGGCCAATATAGCATCAACGCTTTCTAAACGTAAGTGGTCGTAGACTGATTTTTCGATGAGCACCTTCAAAGTACTTCCCACTAGGTCTCTTCCATGTCCCAAGTAAACGTTGTGCATCCAATCAAAAACACAGGATTCCAGAGTCCAACCTGGAACAGACCTCCAAACTGAGATTTGCCCTGGCATGGCAAGGTATTGCTCATGGGAGATTTCCGTCAGCGACCAGGCCTGGGACGGGCCAAAATTTTTGAAGTGCATACGCTGGTCACACTTGGTTGTTGAACTTGCCAGGCATGAATCGCAAATCCTGGGAGGCTTCAAGAATCCCATTATTAGACATGATTTGTTTGGTCCATGATCTTTGTGAAAAAACAGAAACCAACAACTAACCAACAACATTCCTTGGATTTGCAAATGAAGTTTCGATCCAGCTCCATAATATCTTTCGAATGAGTGCATCCATTTTCGGGCTTTTAGGTCGCCCTTGGCCACGAAATAGCACGCCCTGGGTTGTAAAGTCACATCATATCAATTCCCAACATCAACACATCATAAATGTTGGCAACTCTGTGTGGGGAATTCAAATTCTTACTGGTGGCATTATCACCCAACAAAATGCACTAAAATATTAGACTGGAAACCTCCATCCCTGAGCCATTGGCTTCCCTGCCATCTCCAACCGATGCCCGGATAGATTCTCACCGTAAAAGCCTCTGCTAGGCGCAATGCCCTTCATTGCCAAGCTGATGGACCAGGCAGCAAGATCGGCCGCCGTTTTGTTCACAGCTTTGGCCACCTGGGATGGCACAAGGGCTGGGAGCCGAAGAAGATGTATGGTTTTGGTGACCCCAAAAATCCATAACATAGGTTTTGCCCCATTCATGTAAACATCAAAATTTCATAAAATTTCTATAGATGGATGTTTGTCCCAGATATTTGTTGTCAAACCAAATTCCTTTTGAAATAGGTTCCACAAAATGTGATCCTGCTCTAACTTGTTTTTTGCCTAGCCACAGCTTCGCTTCTCATGTGTCGTTCTGGGATGATAAGAAAAGGAAACTTGTACAGCAAAATGTCCGAAATCATACCAGTTGGTGCAAGCAATGATGAGATGGAATAAACAAAGTTTTCATCCTCTCTGAAGAACTGGGCACCATCTCCGTGTATGGTAAGCGGTACCACTTGACCCAAACAGCAATCCTCTTCAAATATGGGATGTTTTTCCCAAGGTCCCAACGTTTTGCAATGGCGCCAGAAAGCTGCGATTGAATTTGTGTCCAGACTTCCGAGCATCAATGACCGAAATACACTGGGGTGATGGGAAAGCGAATGCAGAATCTCGTGAGGGAGCAAGCATTTGACAGGTGTTCGCTTCGGTGTAAACCCATCTACCTTAGATTTCAATAGGAACTCCAGGGAAAGAAGAAAACTCTTGTTGGTGATCTGTGTTTCTATACTGCACCTGATGGTATGTCACCCTGTATATAATATTTGGGAAATCTTACTATAACAAAACTTTTAGGACATGCACCCTGGTAAAGAAGGGATGGCCACTCAAAGTTTACACCTGAATTTGGTAGCAAGTGTCTTGTAGATCCATCCATACTGTGTATGGATGCAACTGGAAGTTGAATAGGTCTCGAGTCCATCTATGGAGATCCCGTTCGCAATTGCCAAGGTGTTGCCCCGATGTCCCAAGACTAGCAAACGATTCAACAGCATCATGAACCATCCCATCAACCACCATTGAGTTGGCAAGGTCCACTGCGCCAGAAATACTCATACGACCACGCCCAACCATATGGATAAACCTCTCGCAAGTTTCAGAATGAGCGCAAGATTCGAGTCTTTGGCGTTTCCTGGCCACAGCCCACAAACCATAGGCAAACAAAGTAAACCTTATGGTACTTTACAAATTTTGTTTTAAATGTAGTCCATGCTATATCAGATACCTTTCATGACCCCCTTAATGAACAGCTAATTCAAATCCAGAGGTTTCTGGTTGGTATTTGATATGAGGGAAAGAGAACATAAACCAGGAATGTGTTTCGAATTGACATCCATTTGCCCAGCAATGATAAGATGATAACAAGACCTGACTTTGTTGTCTCCTGGAATTCAGAAGCTCATTGGGGTGGTAGATCACTCCCCGGTAGGTGCTGCTGCTGGCCTTGTCGATGTTGGACCTGGCACGGAGAGGAGCCAACACACAGCAGGGCATGTGGGGGGCATGTGGGAAATTGGCAATTGAGTTGGATGCCCAACAGGCCCCCCAGATTGAACCCAGAAACACATATATAGTGGATATCCCCAAGACACTGGCCTCAAGCACAAAACTATTTTTCACCGGTGATCTGCGCTTTGTTCTATCGAGTCTGGGCCTGTTTGTTGGACCCTCTCAGATTGTCCCATAAGTTCACACAGTAGGCCCACCCTTCTGCAACCTTTTGCAACGATTTGCAATCCTTTCTTATGCAAAGAGATTCGAAGATACATTGTACTCATTATGTCGACAGCAGTTTCTATTGAACATTGCAGTGTTTGTATGGGCCTTAACTAAGACAAGTGTTTTGCACTTGCGCATTCCCACAAAAACTGCGATGGTAATGCGGGTAAGAAATCTCACTCTAAGCACACCTTCGCAACCCACGGCATTGGTTTCACTTGCTACCCTCAACGAGAACCACGGCAATGGTTTCACTTGGCTTTCTTGCTCTTGGCCTTCTTCGCCTTCTTGCTCGACAGGAACGACTTCGCAGCGGCCTGAAAGGGATAGGCCATGGAAGGAGTTGGGTCAGTTGGCCCTGTTATGTGGTGAGTATGTGGCCTCTGGGCCCCGGGGATTAATAGGCTATAAATAGATAGATATAATAATAATATATATATATATGACTAAGATTTGATATACACACCTACGTTTCACTGATGGCGTTGAAAGAAAGGTACTCGTAGAGGTATGACATGGAATCTAAATCCGATCCCCTGACAATGGTTTCAGGTATTACCACCATGGGCTATGGGCCCCAAATGGCATTCATCAAATAATATTCAGGGAGATAAGTTATGACAATCCCATACCCAATTTGGGCTTGGGGCCCCTGAAAGCATTAGACCTGTCTTACATCACCCGTGGTCTCTGGGATCATTTCAACATTTACCAACCCTTGATAGATAGATGGTTGATAGATAGATGGTTGATAGATGATTGATAGATAGATGGTTGAAAGATAGATGGTTGACAGATGATTGATATATAGATAGATGGTTGATAGATAGATAGATAGATAGATAGATAGATAGATAGATAGATAGATAGATAGAAAGATAGATAGATAGATAGATAGAAAGATAGAAAGATAGAAAGATAGAAAGATAGAAAACTAGAAAGATAGAAAGATAGATAGATAGATAGATAGAAAAGATAGAAAAGATTAGATAGATTAGATTAGATTAGATTAGATTAGATTAGATTAGGTAGATTAGATTAGATTAGGTTAGGTTAGGTTAGGTTAGATTAGATAGATAGATAGATTGATAGATAGATGGTTGATAGATAGCTGGTTGATAGATAGATGGTTGATAGATAGATGGTTGAGAGAAGATTGATAGATAGATGGTTGATAGATACATGGATGGATAGATAAATAGATAGATAGATTTATTCCCGTTTGCTCCTATCCCCATATTTGGATTGCCGCTGGGCAGGTATGGGTGGCCAAACTTCCAGCAAACAAAGGGTCAAAGACTCAGACACCGGGCTGGCCTGAAGTTTTTTGGTTCCTTCAGACTTGGTTTCGATCTTTTTGATCATTTTCTTGAACTCCTTGGGAGTGGCATCAGCCTTTTTGTTCAGCAACTGGACCTCTTTGAAAAGATCTTCCACGCCTTGCACATGGGTGAGCAGCACTTTGCTAAGATCCTCTGCGTAATCCAATCCTGAGAGTGTGATGGCCGATGTTCTGGCCAGACCTGCCTCCTTGAGAGAAGCTTCTATCAACTCATTCATTTTGTCCTTGGGGGTCTCAGCTTTCAGCTCCTCAGCTTTCTCAGGTTTGGCCTTTGGGGCCGCCGACTTTTTCACCGCCTGGAGGCAATGGGCAGTCTGGGGTGTGAGCACAACTGATTATCAAATGGACGCCTTTTGATGAGGGATGTAACCCCAAGTTTCATAACCCTTAGCCTTCCCCAAAGATTCCAGGATCGTCTTGGTCCCCGCTGCAGATGCTGCAGTAATGGCTGGCATGGCCCCAGGTCTCATGAACCCTTGCTCTGAAACCAAAGCTTCAAGAAGATCAGTCTCTACTGACGCTGTAGCGCTAAGTTTTGTCGACTCTGATGTGATATCCCTGTGGGTCACTTCCTTGGGGGCAGGCATATAGAACCAGGCTTCCTTACAAGTCGGATCGGTTCACAAATGTGTTTTGTTTTGCTGTTTACTTACTAGTTTGTGGGCCCTATAAGCTCTGAAAAGAAAATGCTTTTAAACAGTTTCCAGTGTCGTCGTCGTCCCCGGGGAAGTCTTCCGATTCGTACCACATGCCAGACGACTTTCTAAGCTGAATAAGTTTCTCAAGCTTGGCAGGCTCGTGAGACTTCTTCAGCTCTTTTCCCTGGATCGTAATCCATCCTCTTTTCGATTCATTCTGTTGTTTGTGTATGCGCTCCACCGACAAGGCCACAGCATCCCATGACTTGTTTTCGTCTAACCAAAGGTTAAACAGTTCCACACGATTGGATTGGTAGTATTCATACACCCTGTATTTTTCTTTCGATCGGGTGAACTTGTCCCAGTCGCGCTTATTGGTTGTGCCTCAACTGGTCATTGTAAAGCTGTTATACTTTTTGCAAACTCGGGTGCTCAGTTGCGGTTGTTGATGGATATATCCATCTTGTGAGAACCCTTAAGTTGGAATATCACCCTTTATAATAAATACTGCTGTATACCCCAACATAACTGGACCTGCACCCCCAAATATAATCCCCTATAGTTCTGTATAAGACGCGTATGTGGTGTGATTATACATCACAAACGTCTGCTATGTAATGGAAAGTGACTGTTTCTGAGCTTGCTTGGAAGGGCCACAGCCATTTCGGTAGATGCATCAGCAACAGGCACAAGTGCATGCTCAGCCTCCTTCATCTTCGTCTCCTCTTTCGGCTTCTTCTCGTCGTTGTTGTCCTTCTCGTCACCTGTCTTGTCACTCTTGGCCTTCTCTGTCTTCTCACCTTCGCCTCCTGCCTTCTCAGTTTTCTGGCTAGTCTCTTCTTCCGACTCTGTGTCCTCCTCCTCCGATGCCTCTTCTGCATCTGCATCTCCTGCATCTGCATCTCCTGTCTCTGCTTCATCTTCTTCTGCCTCATCGTCGTCTTCTTCTCCTTCTGACTCCGAATCTTTCTCTTCTTCGCTCTCTGAAGACCCATCTTCTCCCTTGGCTGCCTCTTCTTCGTCCTCTGATTCCTCTTGCTCTTCATCTCCCTCCCCTTCTCCTTCTCCATCCTCCATGGATTCATTCTCTGAGCTGGTTTCTTCGCTGTTCTCGCCTGGCTCCAAAAGCTCCTGCAGCTTCTGGACCTTCTTGTCAGTGGCAGATGAGCTGGCACCTGGGGATGGTTTCCTCTTTTTGTTCTTACCCTCCTCTGAATCCACAGGCTCCGGGGGAGACTGGACGGGCTGCTTCTTTGTCTCCGGAGTTTGGAAGACATGCTCCACCTTCTTCTTGATGACAGGTTCGAACTTGATAGGCTCTTCCTTCGCCTTCTTCTTTCCCTTGCCTGGCTCAACCGCTCCACGTTTCTCATGAGTCTTCTTATCGCCTTTCTTTGCCTGCTTGGCTCCCTCCACCTTCTCCTCGGTCTTACTTTCCTTTGTCTTCACCTCTTCCTTTGTCTTCACCTCTTCCTTTGTCTTCACCTCTTCCTTTGTCTTCTTCTCTTCCTTTGCCTTCTTCTCTTCCTTTGTCTTCTTCTCTTCCTTTGTCTTCTTCTCTTCCTTTGTCTTCACCTCTGCTTTCTTACTTTTCTTCTCTGCCTTTGCTTTCTGCCTTTGCTTCTCTAGCTGCAAGGCAGCAGCATGTGCTTTCTTGGCTTCTGCTGCCTCTCTACGCAACTTTTCATCAAGCTTTCCCTTCTCACTCTTGGCACTCTTCTCACTTGCTTTGACCTTCAAAGCGCTCTTTCGTACCTTTTGCTCTGCCTTTCTCTTCTCATTCTCTGGGGGGCTGCTCTTGCCACGCATTCTCGTCTTTGGTGGTGGCTGCTGCGGCATGTGATTGTCGCAGCTCTAAGATTTGGTGAAACACCAGCCCTTTGGATGGTCTTGGAAAACGAAATCCTGCGAATAGGCATGAATGACTTCTGAGAAAAATGGGGTGTCTTTAAGCACTCCTACAATGCGCAGCATTTCGCAACAAGGCGCAGCAATTGCGCTTCAAGGCGCACCATTATTTTTAACCATTTTGGAATGGATTTTTCTGAAAAAAAGGGGAACAGATGCACATAGGTGTCGAGCTCCCATTCGCAGCATTTTTTTTTAATCCAGTGAGGGTGTAACCACATTTTTCACATCCCATGGGGCCCAAATGATAACATATAGCACCCCATCACCTTTTAAATACCACCATCTGAAGGTTTCTTAACTGGGGGACCCCCTGTCAACACCTGCTGCAGCACAAATGGGCAGGCTGGACCTGCATTCGCCAATGATCTCTTCAAAAAGAGGCGAGGCATTGGAAAGAAATCTCCTGGAAATGGCAATGGGCCGACCGAATGGGAAACATACATATAAGCATCATGGAGTAGATAGAATGTGGGATTAACAAAGCTAATAGATAGAATGGGGGATTAACAAAGCTAATCTGTTTTGACATTCTATCTACTCCAGGATGGTTACATATTACTCCAGGATGGTTGCATATCAGGGCTGCGTTTTGACTGCTTTCCCATGAAACTTAACCCCGCTCTTCTATGAATTACCCACGCCATGTGCTTGGCAGCATGGGAAGAAATGGGACTGATTGGCACGGCCGCAGCTAAACGACACTCAAAAGAAGCTGGTGCTTCCCTTCTAGCCTCCGCAATTTGAAATTTGAAATGTCATAGTGTTGCAACATGCTTCACCAATCTTAGATGCTCAAACTTGGGAAGGTTTGCCCCAGCAGTTTGGTCTCAGCTTTTACCGAGACGATAGAAAATTGATCACGGATTCCAACTGGGCACCCTTACGCCAGGCCCTGTTCACATTCACTCTGTCATCAGCCTTGTTGATGGATTTCCTGGCTTCCTTAAGAAACCTCATGGCCTTACATTGGTTGATCTTCTGCTGGTCACTTCGTATCTTGGCCAGAGCCCGGCCGAACCTGCCAGGGCGCAGCATGGTCATGCCCGGTGCCTTTGATTCCCATAGTTCGGATACCGTTTTGGTGGGTCTAAAATAAATAAAATCAATTTCTCAGCTTAGGCACCCTCGAGGGTAGCTTTGTGAAGATTTAAGGTCTGATCCCCCACAAATTCTTGGTAAGCCAGCATGGTCTGTGTAACGAATAACCATTTCTCGTTCCTCCAAACGACGGGCGCTCTTGTACATGGGAAGCATCTCAATTGCTTTGTGGCCTGAGTTGAAGATAAACAAACAAGTTGAGCAATAACCGATCTGGGAAAATTTTATTTTGTTGAATCCAAGTGAAGGATGCCACCCCCAATGCTGATAGACATATCAATGGTAGAAACCCGCATGGGTTGGGATATAAACCCTCTAAATATGATGGTAATATGGTTGTGGTTGTATTGGGTGCACAATTGGGCCGTTACAAATACTATCCACCAACTATAATACTGAGATGATAACCCCGATGAATTGGGATATAAGCAACCCATTATTCAATGGATCCCTTGTAACCCATTCTGGTTTTGTTCAAGATGATAACCCCGATGGACTGGGATATAAACACTATATAAGTTAAGCAACCCATTATTCAATGGATCCCTTGTAACCCATTCTGGTTTTGTTCAAGATGATAACCCCGATGAATTGGGATATAAACACTATATAAGTTAAGCAACCCATTATTCAATGGATCCCTTGTAACCCATTCTGGTTTCTTTCAAGATACTGGAGTAGAGAAACGTCGGCTTCTCCGTGGGAGATCCGTAATCACACATTTTGATAGCAAATCGATGCACCTTCACCAGCTTGAGCAGCCTTTGGAAAAGTACATGAAATTGCATCAAACTTGATGCCGGTTGTTCTACTATGTACCAGCAGCCTTGAGCTGCCAGCACCAGCAACAAAATCAAAGTCCTGGCACACAACAAATTTCCCATTTGAGCGCTTTTTGATTGTGGGGATCCCATAGGCTTTGCCTTTGACCGGCCAGTGCTGGCCCGTGACCTTAGCTAAAGAAAGGGCGAAACATACTATCGAATTATGGGGTGTAAACACGCTTGGTTGATACAGGAAAAATATATCACTTGAAACCTTTGCTGTTTTGCCACCTGGTAGCATAAAAACAAATGACCCACACACCGGTGCCGCAAGTGCACCAGAGCCCGGTTTCATGTTGGCACAATGGTACAGGGCATGTGAAAATCCCAGGTCAGTCGACAGGTCCATGGAAGCGCCACCGATTTCGATGTCAAGGCTCATAGCTTTTCTGCCGGCCTGTATGGGAATCACCGCTTTTTGGGTATGTGTTTATCGTTTTTTGGTCACCCCATTTTTGATGATCAAAAATAAACGAGGTTGAAGGCTTGAGCCACTAGCCTGAATCTCCCCAAGGGTCACTTCAGCTTGCCCTGCAAATAGCTCAACATGGTCCCATGGGTCTGACCATTTCAAACCCGGGATGCTGAAAAGCAATGCCACCAAAGTGCACACGACCTCAATGGTCAAAGCCAAGCTTGAGAAACATGTATGTATGTATGTATGTATGTATGTATGTATGTATGCATGTATGTATGCATGTATGTATGGCTTGAGCACAAAATAAATAGGTACAACTACATGATAGTTGTACCTATTTCTTTTGTGTACACAAATGTATGCATCTTTGTATGTATGCATGTAGGTATGTAGGTATGTAGGTATGTAGGTATGTAGGTATGTATGTATGTATGTATGCATGTAGGTATGTAGGTATGTAGGTATGTATGTATGTATGTATGTAAGTATGTAGGTATGTAGGTATGTATGTATGTAAGTAAGTATGTAAGTATGTATGTATGTATTTATGTTTGTATGTATGTATGTATGTATGTATGTAAGTAATGTATGTAATGTATGTAATGTATGTAATGTATGTAATGTATGTAATGTATGTAATGTATGTAATGTATGTAATGTATGTAATGTATGTAATGTATGTAATGTATGTAATGTAGTAATGTATGTAATGTATGTAATGTATGTAATGTATGTAATGTATGTAATGTATGTAATGTATGTAATGTATGTAATGTATGTAATGTATGTAATGTATGTAATGCATGTAATGTATGTACGTATGTATGTATGCATGTATGTATGTATGTACGTACGTACGTATGTATGTATGTATGTAATGCATGTAATGTATATATGTATACATGTATTTATGTAAATATGTTTATATGTACAAATGTAGATAAATGTATATATGTAAATATATTTGTATTTATGTACATATGTGTTTATGTATATATGTAAATATGTTTTTATGTATTTATGTATGTATGTATATATGTATGTATGTATATATGTATAAATGTAAATATGTAAATATGTATAGATGTATATATATATATGTGTATAGATGTAAATATATATATATGTATGTATGGATGGATGGATGTATGGATGTATGGATGTATGGATGTTTGTGTGTATATGTATATATATATGTATATATGTAAATATGTAAATATGTTTATATGTAAAAATGTAAATATGTACATATGTAAATATTTGTATATATGCATATATGTATATATGTATATGTATATATTAATTATATATTTATATTATCTAGATAACCTAAAATGGGAAACAAAGATAAGACCCAGACAATTTCCCATTCGAATGCTTGCATCAAGAATCTATGGGATGCCCCAACATTCAGCATCATAATTTATGACTTGACTTTAAAAACAACATGGGGTAAGATTGGAAGTTGGCTTCCCACTAGCATTCCCCACGTGCAGGTCAGCCACCACAGGAGCTTTCAGGTGGCGAAGGCCTGAAAGTATGTTAGTCATCCGCTGTTGCCTGGGATCCCTGATCGTGGCCGGAACATCCAAAAACGGGGTCTGGTCCTTGGATTTCTTGATCACCTTTTTGGCTGCTTTGCGACTAACCGCAACGAGCTTCGTCATCGAAATTAAAATCCGATGGAAATGAAATCCGATCACTGTTTCTTTTGACTTTTTGGACCCAAGCAGCGGTTTCCACCATGAAAAGCCATGCATGTATTTGGGGTAAGATGAACTCAATGACCCATTTGAAGACCATTCCAAGAAGGATTGAATTTGCATGTTTTCTTTGGAGACTTGCGGTGTCTTTTGTTTTTGGGCCGTGTGGGATGAAACATGGAACGCCATGGGGGATCCATTTTGGTACCCTTACAAAACCAAGACAAATGATATACTCTCGGTATCCTTTGTGTTTGAAAGAATGAAACATAGAAGAAACTAGGTGCTCAATGTTGGGACCACTACACGCCCAAGATGTTTGATCAAACAATACACATGTCTTCCCTGGAAACTTTCGGTATCCTTTGCCTTTGTCCCTTTATCTTGAAGGTTTTGGGATGAAAGATAGAACAAACTGCGGCATCCATTTTGGGAGCACTACACACCCAAGATGTTTGATGGAAAAAATACACATGTCTTCCCTGGAAGCTTTTGGTATCCTTTCCCTTTGTCTTTGGGGTGTTGGGATGAAATATAGATTCAACAAACCGAGGGAGTTATGCTGGCTTGCCACAAGAACGCACGCCTCACCCCATGGTCTCCTGCAAAGGCTTCAAGGCTCACAAATAGCAGCAAGTACCTGGAGCATTGATGGGCTTAGGACGCCAACAGAATTGGTTGATCCCCTGGCTGAAATATTATATTATTATATCTACTTTTCTAGTGGCTAAGGAAGCTTGTGTCATTTCCACTCACTCAACTGCGCCGATATCGATCTAGAGTCGACCCACCAATGTGCCGCAGGCACTGAAACATTGCCTCACAGCAACCCGAACGCTAAGCCACTGACGCCGTGTTGGCCCAGTGAAGAAAACCCATAAGCTAGCTCAGCCTTTGCTTCATGCGCCTGCTGGACAGAACATATATGTGAGCAATACAGCTGCTAATCCAATATCTAGGCAATAAACAACAAGTAGACATACTATTGCTATTGTCCAGCCTATGCACACTGCTAGCACAAACCCCTGGATCAGCCCTTCTCACACCAGCCCAGCACGCTGCTTCGCTTCAGCCCATGCTGAAACTGGCCCGTCGAAGCGTGACCATGTCACTTGAGCACTCGCAGGCTTGTCGCAGCCTTCCACGCAACGCTTGATCACATAGGCACCGTTCTTGCACAACACTTCAATTGCCTTAGCTGAAACTTTGAACAAACATGGAACAACATCGTGTACTTAACACGCATACCAACGTGTCAAAACATAACAGATGGAAATGGCTGATAAACATGTGGCCAAAGGGCAGCAGTTTGGATGTTCACCGTGTAACTGTGTTTCCCTTTATATTCCACACGCTCTAGCGGTAAAGCCTCATGCGGTAGGGAACTCAAATCATGCTCTTTGAAAGTAGTCATCCTGCCATGTGCATCCACTGGCACACCCCCATGTTTTTTCTGGGGCTTGCCAGTGCTGCTCTCCTTTTTGATCTTGTTCATGAACTTTGCCTTGGGATCAGGGACAAATATCTATGAAACAATGGTTTAAAGGAAATGTGGATGGGAGAAACCTACAATGTGGATGTGGATGGGAGCCGCTATACTTTACTTTGGTTTCAATAAGTATGCTTGGTTGCTAAGACCCAAAAAATGCCAATGAATTTGGCTCCAAATCGAGTTTCTGACTGACGACCCACGACAGGTGGTGGTGTGATCTCCAAACCCCGAGCTACATCAACCGCAAGGCGCGGTTTCTTGCATGCCGGCGTCTGGGTGCATCCATCCTCCTGGGCCTCCTCAGCAGAAGCGCAGTCCAAGTTCATAAGATTCATGGCAGTCTTGAAGCCGGTGTTGGCGCCAGGCACCTGACGCACATGCAGGGCACCGGGGATCTCAGAAGGGGGAAACAGAAAGCTGGCTTGGTGATATGGCTGTGGAATCAAGATTTAAACCCTCCAATAACTATATTGAAAAGCATTTTATATCTATAGATCTAACCAATCTTTCTAGTTCATTGTGGTTGAAGGTCGTGACATATTCCCACATCATTGGGTATGATGTGACATATATGGGAAAGGCTCGGCCATGGGTAGTCGATACCAATAATTTCAATCTCCCTTTTGGAGAAACATGAGATACATGGAAATAAACAGAAAGGGTTTCATTGGGAACACACCGCAAATGTTGAGGACACCGGCCATGGGTATACCAACCAATTTGGTGTTTTGTGAAATCACCTTTTTTGGGGGGCATAATGCCCAATTGGAAAGGCATGGCAAACATTGCATGGGGCCATCGGCCATGGGGAGTCGATGCCAAGAATTTGTTGTTGGATTCAATTAATTACCTTTTTTGCGGGGTTTACAGCCATTGTTTTGAAATTCTTGGCGTCAATTTCCATGGGAATAAACATATAAAATCTTTTTGGGAACACGCCGCAAATGCTGGGGCCATGCATGGTGAACCTAAAAACAATGGTGAACCAATCCAGTAAAAGGATGTCATGTGGCCCACCTCAACCCCTAGCACGGATGTGCAGCCCAGGCTTGACCATGGCCTCCTCATGCGATCGCTTGGAAGGCTTGCGCAAAGCTTTCAGATCCTGCGGGCATGAGGGTATGAAATCAAAACAAATCAAATCTATTCCATAAAAATTGTTGGTGGCTGGTGGCATTTGTGAACATTGGCCAGGAAACTGATAATACCAGATCTGATTGCTGATAAGAAGAATATAGTATTGTTTTTTAGGTTTCTACTGTGCGGTTGAAACTACAAAAACGCAACATGGTTGGTTCCTCCGCTTTCTCTTCACGCACCCATTCGTTGAAGTGCTTCTGCGTGGTGTGGGTGTCATAGACGTAGCGACCATGGGTAACCAATGCATTGCGGCAATGGTCCATATACCCTTCGAACAGCGGATGCCTCAAGAAACATTGCAAACACAAAGAATTCAAAATTAGTTTGGAAAAACTCAAGGTTTGGTGGGAAACTATCAAAAACTATGAGTTTTGGAAAGCAAGTTACTGAGAACAATCACCAGCACGCTTGGAAAAGTCATCCCGGATGTCATCCAAGATGGCAGGCACATCCCCAGCTTCCACAGAAGGTGGCCAGAAAGGTCTGGACTCTTTGGTCTTGCCAAATCGACCGTACTTGGCGTAGAACTTCCCCATCCAACCACTACCCGGAACCTGACTGCACTGAAACTCCTCCTCAGATTCGCTCACATCACTGCCCTTCTCATCACCATCCTCATCGGCAGACTCAGACGTGTCATCTCCATCAGATTCACCCAAGCGAAGAGTTGGCGCCACGAGCGAGTCATCACTGTCAGGCTCATTGGAAACATTCACCTGGACCCCATCTTCAACTCGGACAGCCTGCTGGACCATACGACCAACCGGTGGAGAGATTGCCACTAACGCATCCTTCACCTCATCACTCCATTCCTCCCCATCGGACTTACTGTCCTCATCTCCATCAACTTCCTCCTCCCCATCATCACCTTCAGCCTGTTCATCAACTTCCTCCTCCCCATCATCACCTTCAGCCTGTTCATCAACTTCCTCCTCCCCATCATCACCTTCAGCCTGTTCATCACCTTCCTCCTCCCCATCATCACCTTCAGCCTGTTCATCACCTTCCTCCTCCCCATCATCACTTTCAGCCTGTTCATCACCTTCCTCCTCGATATCAGCTCCTCCTTCCGATCCATCTTCCCCATCTTCCACCGCCATTTCCTGACTTTCACCTCGACGAAGTTGCTGCAAGGGAGAAGGGCACAGGAAGCTTTTCATGGTTTGGACGTTCTCATCGTGGGAGGCACCCATGGCGTTCCTCCATAGGTATCTGAGGGTTCCCAAGCATTTCTTCACTTTGACAGCCTCTTCGGCTGCGAGACTGCTTCGGGTCTCCATCCGCTTGAGGTCAGGTTTGAACAGGCGCTTGTGACACAAGGAATCCAGGTACAAAAAGGCATCGCATATGTAGTACCCGCTAGGTACCTTTAGGGAACCATCCCCGTACTACAAACATCACTGATGTAAGCTTGCGACAAAACAACTTGCAAACAACTTGCGACAAAAACCACAACTATTCAAAATTTGATAACCCCATCGCCTTGGAAGGTGAATCCTTGACGAATGGCAGCAACCAAGGAAAGTTTTTCCCCAAGGTTGATGCCGTAGGTCTCCCAGTCGGCTGATCCAAAACCACTAGTGGGCCTCCTGTCCATGAGGGGCTGCCGATCACATTCAGCACTTCAAGGGGAAGAGTGCGCAGCATATCACGAGCCAAATTGTCCTTAGAAGCTGCATGCTGGATTTAGAAAAAAAGATGCCAAAACGTCCCGTGTTTCAGATAGGCACCATCCCATCTAAGTCACTTCATGCACTCAGGTTTCAAGATATGTTTATAATGGAAAATTGGAGCAACAATGATTTCAAAAGATATGGGACATACTGTGCGTGTTTTGTGTCATTCCGAGTGAGCTTCACTTGACCGGGGACAGATATCAGTTTAGTTGGATAGGGTTATCAACTAGATTGTGGCTGGGTGGCCCTTTCAGTAAAACTTTTGGAGCAGGGTTGGACATTGGATCAATGTCCCATGTCGAAATCATGGACAATAGCGCGCATGCACTGATTGAAGATGTTCTGAGTAGATTCAATAAATAAATAAATATATATATATATGTATGTATATATATGTATAGACGGGTTTAAAGATATCTTTATAGTTGGATGGGGTTATCAACTATAGCTTGTCACTGGGTGGCCCTTTCAGTAAACCTTTTGGGGCATGGTTGGGCTTTGGATCAATGCACAGTTTCAAATGTATGGAAAATGATTTGGATGTATTGTTTGAATCTGTTCTGGATTGAATATGTTCTGAATAGATTGGAATTAATTGGGATTTGTTGGATAAGGTTATCAACTACCTTGTGACTGGTGATCCATTTCAGTAGATTTCTTGGAACATGGTTGGACATTGGATCTTTGCCCAATGCCAAAGATATGGAAAATCATGCGAATGTATTGCCTGAAGATGTTCTGATCAAATTCACCGAAGGTTCAACCTTGCTCTGGGACCATGCAATCTTGCCAGGGCGAGTAGATCTCCACTTCAAGACCTTGACATCGGACTCGTGGGTCAGAGGCTGAGGCTGCTCATCAGCTAGAGGGGCAGCAGGATTGGCTGCATCTGCCGCCATGAGATAGGCTGCGCAGGCTTTGGTAGGCTTCGCCGTTGATATCAAAACCCAAATGCTTCAAGCAATGCAATGGCTGTGGCCTTTTCGCTAGGTCTAACTGAGTTTTCATAACACATGATTTTATTCTCATCAACCCGCACTTGTTGGTGGCATCTCCAAAATTGAAGGTAGTATGACCAATTTGGTTGGGTTAAGCTGCATGGTTTCTAGACCACTGCGTTGGATAGGGTGGCCCAGTGTAAACACTTCCCTGCATCCCCTCCCCAGGGCACAAACCACTGGCAAATCCAGCCATGCAAGCAAGGCTGAATCAGCGCTCCAGTGAGGGCAACATGGCAGGCTGATCTCGATTGAAAGGGTTCTAAATTGGTTGAAGTCGTTTGTTAAGAACATCTCGTGCTGTCAGATACTGCAAGAGTTGCAGCCTGCGAGTTTGCGGTAGGATCTTTGGCCAATGGTTTCAAACAGTTTGAAAAAAGTATTCAATGACATCATTTGAAAAAAGTATTCAATTACATCATTTGAAAAACACAGATTAGTTAAGATCACTTCCTGCTTGCAAAGACATTGGCCATAGTTGCAGCCTGGTTGTTTGCAGTGGATCCCTGACCAACAATGTCAAAAAATTGAATAAGTGCATTTGAAACTCAAACCATGTTGTCACTCTTGCGTGACCCACGTGCGCTGATGCTGTTTGAGTCCTTTCTCAAAAGGAATTGTCACCATCGAACTACCCTGGGTGAACAAAAGGGACAGGTGCCTGGTATCACCGGTGAACCACGGGCCACTTGCCATGCAAGGCTGATCATGGAGGTTGGAAACTTGGATGGATGTTCACATTCTTCATTTTTCGGTGGGATTTCAGAACAAAATGAAACATCAGTAATTATGATTCTCTGTCCCCTTTCCATGTGGGGAACCTGTGAACCCCAAGATTTTAGAGACCGCATTTGCTATCTGATAGCCTCTTATGGCGCCAATAAAATCACCATAATCTGCCAGGTTGTTTTTTAACCACCCGAAAACCTAACAAAAGATTGGGGGTCAGTTGTGCCCACTCCTGTTTCTTTCCCCCTGATATGCAATACCCGGTACCCCTGTCAGATATAGGCCCCGCAAGTGAATAGACAATGCACTTACCGTACTGAAGCATGGAAAAGGGTATTGCATATCCAGGGGAAAAACGCTAGGCAATAAGCCCCTGCAGAACAAAAAGGTACGCACGAAATGAGATGATACATGCGTTCACTAAATATCATGTTGTAAATAGACAGCGTTGATCAAACCACCAGTAACTACCAGTTTGGTTTTGTCTTAACAACACCAAAATCACCAATTAGGAACTTTGAAATAGAAGGTAACGATGCCCACTTGGATCTCTTTTCCCCTGTTTTGAAATACTCTATGTGGGGATTGATGGATTTAAATACTATAAAAATACTTCTACAATGTGCCTGGTATAAGTATATGATATCAGGGGGAAAGAAATTAGAAGAACATCTCCCAAAAATCTGTGTGAAACCTTCCTTTTGGGGTGCAATCCGGTCTGCACGCGTAGGCCCATACATGGTAAAGTTGACTGAAAGGGTTTCTCAATCAACCCCTTGGTTTGGTGTATGCAGTGCCCCCCATGGATGGTGTATATTTCACTTTGTAGGCAGCTGTATGAAAGAAAAACTTAGGTGAAAATAGCATCCGAAGTTCCAAGGTTGGAATTTCAAGGGTTGAAAAGGGTTCTGCGTCCAAACTGTAGCCCACCCGGCCCACCCCTTACCAAAACAATACGGTAGATTATATATCTCTATCTATCTATCTATCTTTCTTTCTATCTATCTATCCATCTATCCATCTATCTATCTATCTATCGATCTATCTAACTATCTACTTTTTGCACTTTGAGCTAGCGAACGTGAAAAAATGTATCACAGACGCTTGAGCTGTAGATGCTTTGGGAAGATCACATTGCAAATACGCATGGCTGCAAGACTACAAAGTGCCTTGAAAGTATTTACTGCTCTCTCTTGCATGAGCATGATATAGAACCATGGTATTGCAAAACACACGAGAGCAATACCAACAAAAGACAGCAACGACGTCTTAGGGAGAAAAAGCGTCCAAAGCAAGCAGTTGGATTGTCCAGGTATACCTCTGATATTGATCTTGCAATGCATGTTTGTCACCAACAGCTTTATTGGGAGAAAAGAAATCAAAATATTCAAGACGGTATCTCCTGGACACGTTCCTAATATGTGGAGTACGTAGGAGAACAGATCATGCAGATCCCAATAGTGACGAAGTTTCTTGAAAGCTTTCGATCAACCGCACCTGGTCCTGCCAGGCCTTTGCGTACCGTCGTAACTCCCAATGATCAGGAAAGAGGTCCACCAGAGACCGAGGAAGATAAGAAGGTGAACGCTCTCAGAGATGAAATCTCCAAAAGATTCAAAAAGCACCTTGACAAAGCGAAGAACCATGAGGCAACCTCAGCCTCAGAGAGCGAAGCTCCTAAAAGAAAAATTCAATCCAAGCCTATGCCAAAGAAACAGAAAAGTGCCGCTGCTGCGGCCAGTTCTGATCAAGCATCCGGTTCAACAGATACCGCCTCTGCGGTTGACCTGCAAGCCAATTCTCCATGGGGCAGCCGTAGGCAGGTTGTTAAAAGCCGAGCTCGCCGTGAGATGAGCACCCAGGCAAAGGAATTGTTCCGCGATGCGGACGCAGCACAAAAGTTTTTCACAAAATTTAAAAAGGATACAGATGAAATTCCGTGGTTTTCCCCGACCAGCGGGTCCACAATGCTGTAAGAACTGTGCCGAATGCAATTGCGCAGAGGCCATGTTTTGGTGCCACCCTTGTGGCTTTGCCTACTGCTTGGAATGCCGCACTTGCGGCTTAGCTTGCAAACATAATATTGTTAATTATTCCTCTGAATTGTCCTCTGAATTTTTGCCAGATAGCATCAGCTCAACCCAGTCGCCTTTCGACATCGGAGTACTGGTTGACGCTGTCCTTGCTGAATCTTCGTATTTCGGAGCCACTCGAAGTGAACATGCACAGACCCGTCAGGACAATTTTCAAGACCTTATCACGCATTTGCGTGAAGGCCGATCCCTGGGCAATACCTACCTGCAGAGCTATGCAAGGCACGGTATCGAGCAATTCGATTACACTGGTTATATTTACTCTATGCCAGATGGAATTCGAATTCCAACTCTTCAGGAACACTACAAATTGACGCCCAGGATCAGACGCCGCTTCCGATTTGGAGACCAGAAGCTTATTTTAAGTACCCTGACGGCCCTGACCTTGATACCGAAGAAATTCTCCGTTTATTGGAACTCTTCCGATCGTGTCTTCTCGGCAAAAGAGCAGTCCAAGGTGTTGTCAAGCGCGCTAAGGATAACATCCATGAATTCCAGAGAGACACATATCAGCTTGGCATTTTGACTTTGAATCTTGGTCACATTAACCGTGTTCCGTATATCGGAGGTTGCTCAAAATTTCCAAAATGGGTCAGAACTGATATTAATCATCGTGCTTTGCCACACATAGTGTTCCGCAATGCGGCCCATATTGTGTGTTTATGTGAGGCTTCCGACGAATACGGAGGAATTGCCGTTCATCGTGAAATTGCCAAGGAGTACGGGATGATTGGTATGGTAGTTCACCCTGCCATCCAATCGCAATCTCTGGCCATTTTTATCCGCGGCGATCACGATGTAGGCACATTCATTGAACTTCTTGGGCACCATCAGATTGAAACTGGCAACAAAACCAGCCCTTTTTGGATTTTGCACGGTGCCATTTTTCGTTTATGCCATGGACAGAATACCTCTGGCGAGTTCGTTGATCCTTCCACAGGTGTTCGCATTCCGAAACCGGATGTCGAGAAGAACGTCGAGTCCATGGTTCATCAACACTGCTGTCGACTGGCGACTACGTTAGATTTCCTTGATCACTCAATTTGTGAGATCGATGGCGATGATGATCTTGCCGTTTCAGGTGTTGAAGTCTGCGAAGTGAATCCCGGTGCTGACACACACGACGTACGACGTCTCTTGTTGGCCGAATGCCGCGTCGCGGTTTTTCACATCTCAGCATATGCTTGGAGTAATGCCTATCAGGAGACATGCCAGAAATGGCTTAGCTTTATTGCCAGTTGCGTCGAGCACCAATGTGACTTTTTGTCTGGTGATGGCAACCTTTTTGCACAGCGCAGTTTTAAGTCTGATGACCATTCCGATTTCCGGACGTGCATCATGATCGACATCCTTGAACGTTTTCTCCAGCAGATCAACCTTCATCGCAGTCCGATCAACCGTATTACGTATAACGTAGTTTCATCGACCACTGCAGCTGATTACATCCGAAGCATGGAAGGAGAAGATGCTGATTGTGATTCAATGCTTTTAATTTCTCTTTGTTACGGTAAGCAGATCGCTGTCACGGAAGCACGTGCCAAAGAAGATTCCGCCTCTGCGGATGGATTCGCAGGATCAGCTTTTTCCGATGAAATTTTGTTGAATGATGTTGAACAGTTAAAACATTTGTTACCATACGATATTGGTTTGGCAGAGAAAGACTGTGCATGGCACTCACCTCTCCTTACCTTTGCCCAATTAAAGGCCTTGAAAAATATGCGCATCCGAACCAGAGAATCAGAAGAGAAAAGACGTGAGAAATGGATGCAGCGAAATCAAGGATATCTCGACAAGCGAGAAGAGAGAAGAGACAGTGTGCCGCCGTTGCGGACCGATTCCTTCAGAAGAGTTGGACAGACCAGATCAAGATCTGTCAGCAGAACCAGGAGTAATAGACCAAAGGCAGATGTACCAAAGCCACCTCCTGCGCCTGCAAGAGCACCTGTGACTCCACCACAGGGTCCAACTGCAACTCCTAAACCAGTTCGCTACAAGGCAGCTCCGGTTTCTCTCAAACAAGCAACAGCACCAACATCCACATCAAGTGTTCAACCACCTGTTAAAGCACCACCGGTTCCACCGCCTGGACGGTCTTCCGGTTCAACACGAACTCCAAGCACTCCACCAGATCCTCCTAAAGCTCGGCCGCCATGGAGAGAAGGATCGCAGCCAGCAGAACAGAGGCACACCACCAGAAAACGACCAATTAATGTGCCTGAGCCTCCTGCACCTCCGTCCCGTATGACGGGTACGCAGTGGTTAGATCAAGGAGCAGCTTCCAGTTCATCTGGATACCGTGGATACGGTTATAGCTATGATCAACCAGCCTATTACAGAGTGAATCCACACACCTCTGATGTTGAATATGTGCCAGGATACACCATGCCTCGGCAGAGATGGATTCAAAAGTATGATGGCTCTTGGTTGGATCTGATTCCACAGACTCCTGATCAATCGATCTTTTTCCACCAATCAGGAGAATTGAGAAGAAGAAATGAAATGAGCTTTTATGGCTATACATTCTCGATGGGACTGTGTCCTCACAACTGCCTATGTGCCGCATTTGCGGTCGCTTGCCAACAGCGGAGAGTAGCTCTTTGTACAGTTTTGTTTTTGTCTTCGGACCGTCTCACAGCAGATCACAGGCTGAGCGCTTCCTTTGAAACAGACTTGCATGTTCCGACACGAAGAACATTTGTGTCTGTTTGTTACTTATTTTGTTTACGTGTCTACACAATGCTTTCATGCATGTTGACATGTACACTTAATATACTTAATTCATATCTTTCATGCGCACTCCGCATGGCTCAAGGCTCAAGATTAGCAGCAACCCGCGTAGCAGAAAAAGAGAGTGCTGTCGCTCACGCTTGACTCAGGTGTTGTACATTAGTTTCCAGGGCTCCCTTAAAGGGGAAAGCTACCTCACCCCCACCACACCACGGGGGGGGAGGGGAACAGTGCCACACCCCCACCACACCACGGGGGGGGGGGGGGAACACTGCCACACCCCCACCACACCACAGGGGGGGAGGGGAACAGTGCCACACCCCCACCACACCACAGGGGTGCATATATAAGCAGGTATAATAATATATATAATCATATATATGTGTATATATATAATCACACATATAACCATACATATAATCATACATACAAAATGTATGTATAAACACATATATGATTATATATATATATATCATCATATATATATATAATCACATATATATATAATGACACACATGTATATATATATATATGTAATCATATATTTATATGTATAATCATATATTTATATATAATCATATATATATAATCATATAACATATTTATATTATATATATACGCATATATTAAAAAAAAAAATATTATATATATATATATATACGTATGTATATATATAATATACACAGCATATACATGCCAACAAAATTGCACCTTGCTCCCCATGTGTAGGAGAAATCCATCCCTTCTATTCCTATGCTTGTTGTTCGCATCGAACCCATCTGCGTGTTTTGTCCAAGCCGCAGTGTTCACCAAAGTGAAGAGCACCGTCTTGGTGGGTACGACCATTCCTGCAAAAAAGCTTCTCGGAGACACTTGAAGAAACGTTCAAAATCCTCACACATTCGGGTACTGTACACGATCCAAAGCGACATCCTCTATCAATCGTCAATCCATGTCTTCGCATGCGCGTGCTCTGCGTTTGCGGGTGTCGAGGGCAAACAGGAATCCATCTATCCCATTCTGATCTGCTCATCAGGTCCCGCCAGTGCAACCCATCCTTCAGGGACGGCCTTGATCTCCACCGGCAGCCTCTGCGACCACGGCGTGCAATTCTAAACCATGCAGGATCCCGTCTACGGCCAACAGGCGTTCCGATGGTTTTCATGCTTATATAAGGTATTCAAGCGGTGGACCTTGGGGGTCATCAAGTCTTGGACAACTGCGCAGGGCGTGAATCTGGACATCTGACCAAACGCAAATAAAATTGCTCCACCCTATGGCAAAATCAATTGGTGCACTCAGCTCGTGCAAGCAGACCTAGTGCTTCCCCCCAAGAAAGAAAATACAACATCATCATCATCCCCTATCTCCGCCTGCCACCATGCTCCTTCAAGATGTACTCCCAGCCTTCGCGGTAGAACCTGGGTGTGAACTTGTAGGACAGGTCCTTACAGCTGCCTTCTACAATTTTGACCGACTCATCCAGCAGAGCTGCTTCGCAGTGGCAGAATCTTGGGCAAGCACAGCATGGAACGACGATGCAAACAGAAGCTGTGCTGCGTTACTGTATCTCATGGTCTTGCAAACCACGAGTTCAAAATTGCCGTCCTGTGGGTCAAGGGTGGCACACACACACACAAGCAGCAGCCAAGGCACATCGAAGGATTGTCATTCACCTTGCAGCTAAGCTAAGCTGTGAAGACCATACTTCGTGGGGCCCCAGATCTGTCTTGACTTGCGATGCACCAGAAATTCACTCAATGAGGAAAATGTTTGCCTTTCATAAACCGCCAAATGATACACCGGAGCATCCGGAGTGCAATGAACTTCCCAACAGGTTCTTCTCTCTTCATTTCGGGATGTCTCTCAGGGCATCACTTGACCCATTGCAACATCTCGAAAGCGCTGTTGGATGCAAGCCATGCCCAAAACCCTTGTCATCACCCATATATTGGTCGGCTCGTGGCCCCATTAAGCCTTCACTATGTTCAATCCGATTTTTTTGAAGCATCGGATCCTCTCCAAATTCTTTCATGGTTCCCTTATGTTCCCTTTACCCATAAAGAACCACTACTAGCTAGCAAACAAATGCAAACAGGGTCCGGAGATGTTTTTCAGATGTCCCTGGGGATGTCCCGACCCTATCGGTTCAGCCCCGTTTTTGCAGAGCGTCTCCATCGCCGAAGTGTTCAGAGTAGATCTCCGCTGCCTCATCAATCTTCTCCTGGCAGTAGCATCGTAGGGCCGGTCCTCTTCGGAAAACGCATCCCAACAAAAAGGACAATAAATTGATATAAATTGCCAAATTATGGTAAAAATCTGAGGGGTTTCTATGGTATCTTCGGCATCTTCCAATTTGGCACCTACAACTACTAAAAATGATCATGTTTGGTGACCATCGTGAACCAGTTGCTTATGGCGAGCCTCCCCCACCTACACTTGCGAGTACGAAGCGGGATACTTGTCCTCGCATCCCAACTTGGTACAACTTAGGACTCTCTTCAGTTCTCCAGGAGCTCTGATAAACCTTTCCTGATAAACGAACCTTTTTGCCATAGAGGCCACAGAGACATATGACATATGACATATGACAGACCAGGAGGCGCATCTTGTGCTGCATATGCTGCGTGATGCCCTGCTTGTCAGTTGAACCATCACCAAATGATTTATCATTGACTCTAAACATGAACCCGCCGAAAAATTCAGACAGAAACCGTGCAGTGCAAAATTTCCACTTCGTAAGTAAAGGTGGCTGGGAATTTCTTCCACCACACCTCCCAGCAGGTGATGCCGGAACACGACTGTAACATGACTGCAGACCTTGGTCACCACCTGGCCCAGCAAGTATCGCTTGATGAAATACCTCGGCGCCGTCCAAGGCTGCTGGAAACTGACCATATCACCGACGTGGTGATGGTTTCCTGTCAACAGTACCTTGCCACCTCGCCACCTCGCCGAGCCACTGCAGGCCGAAAAAAACGACCTCGTTCCATCCGTTGTTGTCACATCCACGGCTTTCAAAATAGCCTCGATACAAACAAAAGGCAAAGTTCACAGAACAAATATGACTGGAGAGGGCTGGGGTGAACGAAAGGTAGGTTCTGCTGGATCAGGGGGGATCTTTTGACTGCCATGGTTCCGTGCCAGACTCGTGGCACATGGGTGAAACCGTGGGCATGCGACGGCGATACTCAAAATTGACGGCTTCTTGCAAGTTCCAACAATTTGTGATTTTGTTCCACAATATTTTCGAACGTTCCTCTTTCATTTTTTCCAAAACATATCTACTAGTATACAATAGCCACTGTTGCCTGGGACACCTTACGTTCACAACTCACTCTCCTCAAGGGATCACTGTTGTTGGATCGCAAAATGTGTCCAGCAAACTTCACTCGCCTATCTTCTAGTAAATCCGAGAATAGTTTAATTTTGCTGGGTGTCCCAGGTGTGTGGCCGATTTCTTCATTTGCCTTTTGCAAAAAATATTCGTTTGTATTTGAACGGTTGGCAAAAGTTGTGCTGAGACCCAAGGTTTCACGTAGGCCCCGCAATTGAAATGGATTCACTTTCTTTTGTTGTGTTTGTGTGAGGTGTACGGTCTCGAGTCCATAGGATTTTTTTTTCTAATAATGGCATCATAAACTTGCAGCCTCCATCTATTAGAACAAACAGTTGTCTTCCAGAAGGAGTCCAATTTGAACCACGTTTTCAATGTCTGGTGCATTTTGTGTTGTGTCTCGTGTTTCACGTCCATTTCCTGCGTGATTTGGTGTCCAAGGTAGGTCGTTTCTTCCACTCTGTTCAATTTCTGTCCGTCTGGAAATTTGATCACGTTGTTGCCATTCATAGAGATATAACTTGAGTTGCCCGTATTTGGCTTAAAACTGGTGGGGGGCGTCGGGAGGGGGGGTGAGGTAGCAATCCCCGCATTGATTGAAGGAGCCCTGGATCTACACTAGAACACTTGTGGTCAGCGCGGGCAAGCTACACCTTTTTGCTGCGGTATGCAAGCAAGTCTTGAGCCACGGAGTGGCGCTGTGGATAGAATGAATTATGTGAACATGTCATGTACTACATGCAAACTGTCATGCATGCATTGTGTAGACACGTCCCCAAAAATGGTTTACAAACAGACACAAATTTTCTTCGTGTCGAAACATGCGGTTGACTTTTTGTACAAGAAGCGCTCAGCCGCTCAGCTTGTACTCTGCTGTGAAACATAGTTGTCCGAAGACAGAAAATGGATCTGCTGTCAGGCCGTAATTCGGCTCTTTGTGGCAGTAAAATCTATAAGCCCATTGAGAATGTGTATCCGTAGTGATAGAGTTCGTTTCTTCTTCTCTGGGCTGACGGCTGGTGAAAGAAAATACTTTGGTCAGGCGTCTGTGGCAACAAATCTACCCATACTCCATCTGGACGCAACATCCATCTGTTGTATGGAGCATAGTAACCTTGCGCGTACTCAACTACGTGAGTTTGCGGATTGGTACGCCAATATGGCGGTTGAAAATAACCTGGACCGCGAGGGCGGTTCGCCGTCGAAGATGATGGCGGTTCTGGCACAGCGGGATAATCGGATAACCAGAATTAAGCCATTGCGTGCCCGACATGCGGGTCGGCGGCGGCGGAGGTTCGGGAACATTGATTGATCGTTCCCTTTGCGACCTCCCAGTATTCGTCCAATGTCCACCAGCGGACGACCGTGTCTCGGTTCGTGTCCGGGTGTTTCGACCTTGCGGAGTCGAACGCTCTCTTCCGACGCAATTGCGTCGCTCCTCATGCTCACGCCATGGTGGTGTGGTACCTGAGGTACCAAGTGAACGGCTGGGAACTGGTCTTTGTACACTAGGCGACCTAGCTGGCCGCGGTGGCGGTACAGGAGGAGCCTTCACCGGCGGTGGTTGAGGTGGTGTGCTTGGTTGTCTTCTCAATTGCACAGGTGGTGCTTTCACCGGCAGTGGCTGTGGTGGCGTTCGAGGCGGACGAACTTCTGCACGATCTCGGCCGGGAGTTCGGCTCATAGATCTGGATCTGCGTTGGGCACCGGAATCCACATTGCGGAATGAGTCCTTCCGCAGAGGTGGTACACTGTCGTGTCGTTCACGGCGTTCAGCCTTTCGTTCTTCACGTCTTTCTCTGTACCCAACGTTGAGATCCTCGAATTTTGGTCCTTCTCCGATGTTCGGAATCTTTGGAGCGAATGCGCATATTTTTGAGCGCACGAATTTGAGCATAAGTGGAGAGTGCCAAGCGGCATCTGTCTCCTTCAGGCCCAGGTCGTAAGTTAAAAGGTACTTCAACTGTTCGACGTCCGTGAGGACGATCTCATCTCCAACGGCTGGGCCGGCAACTCCATCCGCGGATGCGGATTCTTCCTTGCCTTTCTCTTCGGAAATAACGGTTTCCTTACCGTAAAATAAGGAAATTAACAACATTGAATCGCAATCGGCACTTTCGCCTTCCATACTTCGGAGATACTGGCTGGCCTGCGTTGAGGAATCAACATTATATTATATGAAATTCTGTTCAAAGGACTGCGATGCAAATTAATCTCTTGGAGAAAGCGCTCTAAAATATCAATCATGATGCAGGTCCGAAAGTCGGAATGGTCATCTTTCTTGAAACTGCGTTGGGCGAAAAGGTTGGCATTGCATGAAAGAAAATCAACTTGATGCTCCACACAATTGGCTACAAAATGTAGCCATGTTTCACAGGCTTCAGAATAGCCGTCGGACCCGGCATAAGAATAAATGTGGAATACACCAATACGGACTTCTGCAAGACCAAGGCGTTTTACGTCATGTGTGTCTGCGCCGGAAGTCGGCTGTAACAGGTCGGCATGCTGAGCATCACATCGGCCATCAATCTCACAGATTGAGACATCACGTGAATCTTGTGTTGAGGCCAGTGGAGCCGGATGCGGCTTGACTGCAGCGCTCATATTGGGTGTTACGTCGGTTGGCTTTATGGTCCGAATGCCGCTTGTTGGGTCAATGATTTCACCAGACGTGATGTGGCCATATGAAAGACGAAAAATCGCGCCATGAAGCAACCAGAATCAGTTTTGTGCTTCTTTGTTCTCAGTCTCAGCTTGGTAGTGGCCGATAAGCTCAATAAATGTGCCGGCAGAATGGCTGCCGCGATAAAAATGGCAAGTGACGGAGACGTGATTTCGGCATGGACTACCATACCTATCATTGAATGATCGGAGGCAAGTTGCTGATGAGTGGCAATGCCACCAGTTCATCATGGGCTTCACAAACAGTCACAATATGAGCAGAATGGCGAATAATTAAATATGGCAAAGCACGATAATCGTTGTCCTTGCGGACCCAGGATGGAAACCTATAGAACTACCTATGACGGTTGACGTGTCCGAGGTTGAGAGTAAGGATACCAAGTTGGTAACTGTCCTTTTGAGTGTCTTCGGAGTTTTCCGCATTTCGGATTTCCCCACAGAAACAGCTCTTTTGCCGCTTTTGCGCATCAAACAACATCTGAACAATTCAAGGAGATCAAGAATCTCTTGCTCCTGCAGCTCAGTATCAGGATACTCGAAGAAGATCTCTGGGCGCCAAATTGGCAGAGCTGTTGCATCTTGTGCTTCAAGAAAATGTTTCTCAAGTGTCGGTACGCGATTACCGCTGGGAAGTGAATAAACAAAATCCGAAAAAGGAAAATCTTCAATTCCATATTGAACAAAATTCTGGAAATAGTTGTTGCCAAATTTTCTTCCATGTTTCAGAGCTTCAACAATATCCTCAAAATTCTCTTGTCTTGTACGTTCGTGTTCCTTTCTTGTAGCACCGAAAAATGAAGATTGTCCAAGAACAGTATCGATGATCTGTCCCATGTCAAAAGGTGGGTCCTTTGCACTGATACTTTCTGGCATAAAATTTGCTCCAAGTTCGGAAGAGCAATTGATAATGTGATGGTCACAAGCTTTTCCTTGAACACGGCAATTCAAGCACAAAGCAAAGCCACAGGGGTGGCACCAGAACATAGCGTCTTCTGCTAGACATTCATTAAAATTCTTGCAACATTGTGGTCCCTCTGGACGCTGGAACCACTGAATTTCGGTAAATTCCTGTTTAAACTTAGAAAATACTTCTTTGGCAGCATCTGCATCTTTAAAAAGTTCCCTAGCACGGGCAGACGTCTCACGCTTAGCAGCGGATGATTTGGCAGGTTTACGTCTGTCTTCCTTCGCCGGGATTGCGGCTGATTTGGAAGCGGATGCAGAGGAGCTGGATGCTGCGGCAGAACTTTCCGGGATTTCGGATTTCTTCTGCCCTTTGGTTGGCATCCCCTTAGCCAGAATCGGCTTGGCTGGCTGAGCCATAGTTTCGGTCTCAGAGGAGGAGATGTCGACCGAAGTCTTCGACTCCTTTTGTGCAGCCTTACGCATGCTCTTCTTGAAACGTTCTGCGATGTTGGACCGAATTTGTTCGACGCGCTCATCTTCAGGGGATTTCGGAGGACATGACGAGCGGTCATTTGGTGTTGGACCTTGTCTGGCTGGTCTGGCCGGTCCGGCTCTTGCCTGCCTGAAACTGTTCAAAAAGTCTGCAATGGTCTGTTCATCGGTCAATTGAGCTGTAACATAATGAGTGTATTCACTTCTTTGCCATGTGATACCATTTGATTCATTCTCACTTCTCTTTTCCCAAAAAAGTTGATGGTGAGCAATATGCATGGCAATGTCAATATCGGAGTGGTAATCATTCATCCTGAAAAGTTCTCCGGTATTCGGAACATAAATCCAGACACGATCAATAAAAGACCAAACTCCACAAAAACGATCAAATGGAACTGCATACGGTGTCAGCACGCAATTGCTCTCCGTGATAACGGGATCGAGGTCGTGCAGGCAAGTCGGACGGGCGATAATCACACAGCCGGATTCCGGACGCAATGCGTCCACCATAGTCGTAAGACAAGAGTCTAAGGCGAAATGGACGCGGTTCCGGCCACCACGGGTGCCACCTGGCAGTAGTCCGCGTTGGCGGATCGAGCTCAGGTTCTTTTCATTAGTACCGTGGATCAGATATCGGTACGGGTACATGTCCGGCTTAAATGGAGTATGCTCAATTCGAATGTCATTGGAATGTCCACTCTCAAAACGGATAAAGACACTAACAATTCCGGATCCATCCAAAACATCAGCTTGGGTCAATCGTACAGAGTCATTGTAAAAATCAGCGGGTTTAAACCAAGCATCCGGTTCCGGAATCTTTGCTGGTTCAAAGTTGTTTTGAGTCAGAAAACCAATCATAGCACGAGATTTATTGGAATCGCAAATCACATGTGCCAGAGGCATAAGGTATCTCATTGAATTCATCTGCCTCTAAGGGCTGCCGGGACTTCGGCTGCATTTACCCAATTCAATCGGTCATGGCAACTGTTGTACATTGCTCGGATTTCTCTGGCAGTTCGACGTGATTGATCATCTCATGAAGCGAAAGAGACCCATCTTCATGTAACAAATCCGTATGTCGGAATAGATATGAAAGATGTCGCGGTCCAATCTCAAAAGCATGATCTTGTAACGGAAAATCATGGTCACGTTCTGTCTGAACCCCACCTTGCTTTCTTAAAACTTGACAAAGACCTTGTTCAATGAGATTGTCACGCTTTTCTCGGATCGAGCCGGACTCGCGGTTTCTGTCTCGGTGTCTGTCCGTATATTCGGATCTTCCGCCTCTGGGGGTGTGATAAGGTCCTTGGCCGCGTGGGGTACGCTGGCCACGCCACGTGGTGTTTCGTCCGCGTTTGCGGATCTTGGTAGACGAGAGTATGCCGGTGGCATGCAACAGTGAGAAAGTCGGATGTGGGACCTTGGGCGTCGTCCCACTCGGATGCACGAATGCAGAAACGGGCGATGGCAACAGTATGCCGGCGAGGTTTGATCAGGTAGGTAGGAAAACGAGTGAGGTTCCAAGGGGTTAACGTACCCTGTGAGCCAAGAAATTGCAGACGCAAATTTTCTTGAGACGAAAATGTACTCATCAAAGTACATTATAGCAAACACATGATCTGAAATGTCTTCACAGAAAAACGTAGTCACATTGTGAGGTTCATGAAGTGTATCAACGACCCATGTTGTCAAAAACGCCTTGTGTTTAAGCAACGACCGGAATGGCGGATGCACGTCTACTTGTTCAAGTTTGCCAGTTGCTATCGAAGACACAAGTTGGTCTGGTTTTGCTGTTGATTTTGTAAGTGGGTCTGCCAGACAATATTCACTTGCAATGGGACTTAAGTCGTCTAAGTGGCCGGTGTTGCTTTCATGTCTCAACATCTGTATTAAATGGTGGGTCTCTTTCTGTTCAGGTAGGTGTGTGGTCTGAGCAGTTGTAACTAAGTTGTTCGCGTCTGTCCTAATGTGAAAAGGAACGATCTCGCCGCTTATGTCGGCCGATAACGCTCTCAGAAACAAACACGTACCAAAGCACTTCATTAACACATTTAGTTCGGCAACGGTTGTGGACTGTGTTGTAGTCGTGATTTGATGGCTTTCATAGTCAATAATTGATCCACGAGTTGCTGATTCAGAACCATGTAAACGGTGTGTTTGCTTGTCGTAACCGGAATTGCAGTATGTACCTTTGGTAGGTAACTTGCGGTCTTCAGCTAAGAAAATGACATGAGCACGCTGACTGGATTTGTCACTGTTGTTGCGATAAGATGCATCGGGCATGCCAAGGATACGCTGTGAACCCTTAAGAGGCCAAAATCTTCCATCAACGTACTGACTCTTGAGGGTGCGTACAACCTTGTTGATTTCCCTGACATCTCCGACAGTCGGATTAGCAGCCGCTGAGGCACAACGCGAAAACTTGTAACAAAGATGGACTTGAGTTCTACTCTGCAACCAATTGAGCTGTCCAAGTACGGATCGATAAGCAGTATGGAGTTGTGGATTACATTGAACATTGTCCTTCTAGAACTTATCGATCTTGACTTCTTCAACTAAATCGACAGCAAGCTTCTGGTCAACAGAAATATATGATCCATACTT